TACTGGGGAGGTGGGGGGCTCTTAGTACCAGTTAAGCCTGTCACTGACCACCAATTCTGGGGAGTTGGGGGGGCTCTTGGTACCTGTTAAGCCTTCCACTAAAAACCAGAGAAGTTTGGGAGAAGGGGTTCTTGTTACAGCCTAAGCCTGTCACTGACCACCAGTGCTGGGGAGTTGGGGGTCTCTTAGTACCGGTTAAGCCTGCCACTGACCACCAATACTGGGGAGGTGGGGGGGCTCTTAGGAACGGTTAAGCCTGCCACTGACCACCAATACTGAGAAGGACAGTTATCCTCGGTTCACACTGATGCAACTTATCATGCAGCTTGATGCACCTTGCAGTACATAGTCGCATGAAAAGTCAAAACATAATTATTGTAATGGGTGCCATCCTGATCCTTGCGACTCAAGTCCGCAGCGACCTAAAAAAAAGACGACTTCAGCCAAAGCTACATAACATCAACGTCGTATTGAAGTCGCATTGAAGTCCATCAAATTGAAAGCAAGTCACACTAGAAGTCGCAAGGCTTTCAAGTTGCAACAATGGGGACCAAGCCTTAGCTGGGGGAGGAGGGTCTTATTACAGTCCAAGCCTGCCACTGACCACCAATGTCAGGGGGGAATATTGTGACCTCGTACCCCAATAATGGGTGTTACCATTACTGACCGGGCCATTCGCATACTTTTCCTGTCTGCATGGAGTAGAACGCATGTTATGGATATGGGGGGAGGGAGGGGGGATCATCCATTTACCATTCTGCAATACGAGTTACAATAACGGGTGCACTTTGTGAGATCCTGGCGCAGCACACGGAGCTCTTCTGTGCAAAAAGCATCCCTCTGGATGTAGCATCGCCCCATCTGCTCACTTCCCATTCCTCCACCCTGCATACACTGTAGTGGGAGATCTGTGTACCTCTGCTGCCACCAGGTGTCGGAATCTGAGAACTGCAGCCTCACTTTTACAGCAGGGTCTCCAATGGTGGCGAAGCTTTGTGCTTCATCACTTCTGGAGTGCAGGGTTGCAGTCCCGATTTTTGTTTTTTTTTTTTTTCTATATGGCCATCAAAATGTTATGTTACGGATGCGTTGCTGTAATTTTTCCAGTTTGGCTGTAGTCACCATGCTAGAACTTCTCGAATGTCGCTTTGCACATTCAGAATAACTCATACTTTTGGTGGAATTGGCCAAAAATGTTGTCTCCATAATCCCCCCCCCCCCCCCACCTGCATTTCTGTCAGATAACGCACCACTTCGCCCATAAAAATTTTGCAATCACAAATGTTTCGGCATTCTCATGTTTATTTCTTTTGGTAGGACACAAAAAAATGGAGAAACAAAAAGCCAAACCTGACACATTCCACCCAAAACCCCAAAAATGGACCGGACAAAGTTATTGGCACTTAGGTTTGTGTTTTCCTTTTCACTTGGATTGTAGGGTGTGGCTCTTCGGGCCTACCCTGAAGTCTAGGGGTTGGGTGGGTGGCCCATTAGGTTCCTTCCTCCCCTGAATTGAGGGGTCTCTCTTCAGGAGAGCTCCCTCGCCTACTAGTTGGTGATCAGCTTTGGCTGACCATGAGGTGAGCAGGGGCGGACTGACAACTCATGGGGCCCCCGGGCAATAGGGGATCATGGGGCCCCTGTGTCCTTGCCCAAACTCAAAAAAGCTTATGAAAAAGGTACCAGGGGCATCTCATGGGGCCCCCTACTGACCCCGGGCCCTCGGGCAGTGCCCGAGTTTCCAAATGGTCAGTCCGCCCCTGGGTGAGGGTCCACCAGGACTCTTGGCTAGGTGGACCACGAGTGTGCCTTGTGCCCCAGGGAGTCAGGAAAGGGTCCTTCTTCAGGAGTCAACTAGAGGGACACTTTTTTGTGGGTGTTTTTCAAATGCACTTTTTTCGTTTGCTTACAGGCACCACTTCAAAAAAAAAATTGGTTTAGCCCAGGGGCAGAGAGGGGACTGTGCATGCACAGTGACCCCATCAGACATAGCCCCCAGCAATTAAATAAAAAGTTCCCCCCGGGTCCCACTAGTTAAGCAGCAGGGGCCCAAGGACAGAGAAGAGACTACATTCACCGGCCTCTTTATTAGGTCCACCTGTTCCAATTTCCAAATTGCTAATCAGCCAATCACATGGCAGCAACTCAATGCATTTAGGCATCTAGACGTGGTGAAGACGAATTGCTGAAGTTCAAACTGAGCATCAGAATGGGGAAGAAAGGGGATTTAAGTGACTATGAATGTGGCATGGTTGTTGGTGGTGTCAGACGGGCTGGTCTGAGTTTCTCAAAAACTGCTGATCTACTAGGATTTTCCCGTACGACTATCTCTAGGGTTTACAGAGAATGGTCCGAAATAGAGAAAACATCCAGTGAGTGGCAGTTGTGTGGAGGAAAATGCCTTGCTGATGTCAGAGGTCAGTGGAGAATGGGCAGACTGGTTGGAGATAATAGACAGCTAACAGTAACTCAAATAACCACTCGTTACACCCAAGGTATACAGAATGCCATCTGTGAACACATCCAACCTTGGATTTTCACGCACAACCATCTCTAGGGCTTACAGAGAATGGTCCGAAAAAGAGAAAATATCCAATGAGTGACAGTTGTATAGAGGAAAATGGCTTATTGAGGTCAGAGGTTAATGGGCAGGCTGGTTCCAGATGATAGAAAGGCAACAGTAACTCCAATAACCACTCGTTACACCCAAGGTATGCAGAATACCATCTCCGAATGCACAAACACGTCCAACCTTGAAGCAGATGGGCTACAGCAGCAGAAGACCACACCGGGTGCCACTCCTGTCAGCTAAGAACAGGAAACTGAGGCTACAATTCACACAGGATCACCAGAATTGGGCAATAGAAGATTGAAAAAACGTTGCCTGGTCTGATGAGTCTGGATTTCAGCTGCGACATTCAGATGGTAGGGTCAGAATTTGGCGTAAAAAGGGTGGATCCATCCTGCCTTGTATCAATGGTTCAGGCTGGTGGTGGTGGTGTCATGGTGTGGGGGATCCATCCTGCCTTGCATCAACGGTTCAGGCTGCTGGTGGTGGTGTCTTGGTGTGGGGGAGCTTTTCTTGGCACACTTTGGGCCCCTTAGTACTAATTGAGCAACATATAAATGCCACGGCCTACCTGAGTATTGTTGCCGACTATGTCCATCCCTCTATGACTCCAGTGTCCATGGTGTGGTGGATCCATCCTGCCTTGTATCAATGGTTCAGGCTGGTGGTGGTGGTGTCATGGTGTGGTGGATCCATCCTGCCTTGTATCAATGGTTCAGGCTGGTGGTGGTGTCATGGTGTGGTGGATCCATCCTGCCTTGTATCAATGGTTCAGGCTGGTGGTGGTGGTGTTATGGTGTAGTGGATCCATCCTGCTTTGTATCAATGGTTCAGGTTGGTGGTGGTGGTGTCATGGTGTGGGGGATCCGTCCTGCCTTGTATCAATGGTTCAGGCTGGTGGTGGTGGTGTCATGGTGTGGAGGATCCATCCTGCTTTGTATCAATTGTTCAGGCTGGTGGTGTCATGGTGTGGGGGATCCATCCTGCCTTGTATCAATGGTTCAGGCTGGTGTTGGTGGTGTCATGGTGTGGGGGATCCATCCTGCCTTGTATCAATGGTTCAGGCTGGTGGTGGTGGTGTCATGGTGTGGTGGATCCATCCTGCCTTGTATCAATGGTTCAGGCTGGTGGTGGTGGTGTCTTGGTGTGGGGGAGCTTTTCTTGGCACACTTTGGGCCCCTTAGTACTAATTGAGCAACGTATAAACGCCACAGCCTACCTGAGTATTGTTGCCAACCATGTTCATCCCTTTATGATTCCAGTGTCCCCATCTTCTGATGGCTCCTTCCAGCAGGATAATGCTCCATGTCACAAAGCTCAGATCATCTCCAACTGGTTTCCTGAACAATACAATGAGGTCACTGGACTCCGATGGCCTCCACAGTCACCAGATCTCCATCCAATAGAGCCCCTTTGAGATGTGGTGGAACGGGAGATTCCCATCATGGATGTGCAGCCGACAAATCTGCAGCAACTGCGTGATGCTATCATGTCAATATGGAGAAAAATCTCTGAGGAATGTTTCCACCAAGAATGAAGGCAAAAGGGGGTCCAACCCAGGACTAGCAAGGTGGACCTAATAAAGTGGCCGGTGAGCAGGTGGAGCAATCCTCCAAGCCATGTCTCCCGACAATTGGTGCTGTGCATAGGCAGGAGATCCTCAGGAAAGCAGGGTGACATGTAGGCTACGGCCGCTCCAACGCCGCATGGGGGCTGGATGGGAGGGCAGCTATCCTGTCCATACACACTGAACCTACCCAGTGCTATCATATAGGGCAGGGATCTCCAAACTACGGCCCTCCAGGTGCTGAGGATCTGCAAGTCCCGTGAGGCCTTGCAAGACTCTGACATCCACAGGCAAGTCTCCCTGAGGCATGATGGGACTTGTAGTACGTCAACAGCTGGAGGGCCATATTTTGGAGACCCCTGATATAGGGGGACTTGTTAGCCTCTGTGATAGCAATAAAGTTAAATAAAAAGTTTTAAAAGAAAAAATAAATAAATTATATGAAATAAATAAAAATAATGTAAAAAAATTTAAAGCACCCTTATATATACTGTAAATCAAATCTGCTGCGTAAGGGCGAGTATGTGTATCTAAATATAAATTGCACCACGCATGTGCGGTATCGCTGCAAACACCGAAGTGACATCAGTCATTCTAGGGCCGTAATTCACCATTAACCCCAAACTGAGGAGGTTGTGGGAGGAGCGGAGAGGACGGTTTGGGTGATATTTGGAGACAAGATTGGTGATGTAATTTGGGGCGGAGTTATAAATGGCTTTATATGTCATTGTTAATGTTTTGAATTTTATTCGTTGGGCAATGGGAAGCCAGTGGAGGGATTGGTAGAGAGGGGTGGAGGGATTGGCAGAGAGGAGTGGAGGACACTGAGTGGAGCTCAGTGGAGGGATTGGCAGAGAGGGGTGGAGGTATTGGCAGAGAAGGGTGGAGCACACTGAGTGTAGGTCAGTGGAGGGATTGATAGAGAGTGGTGGAGGACACTGAGTGGAGGGATTGGCAGAAAGGGATGGAAGACACTGAATGGAGGCCAGTGGAGGGATTGGCAGAGAAGGATGGAAGACACTGAATGGAAGCCAGTGGAGTGATTGGCAGAGAGGGATGGAGGACACTGAATGGAGGCCAGTGGAGTGATTGGCAGAGAGGGATGGAGGACACTGAATGGAGGCCAGTGGAGGGATTGGCAGAGAGGGGTGGAGGACACTGAGTGGAGGCCAGTGGAGGGATTGGCAGAGAGGGGTGGAGGACACTGAGTGGAGGCCAGTGGAGGGATTGGCAGAGAGGGAAGGCAGATACAGAACGGTTAGTAAGGTGGATGAGTCTGGCAGCAGCATTCATGATAGGCTGAAGAGGGGATAGCCTGCGATGAGGTCGGCCAATCAGGAGGGAGTTACAATAGTCAAGGCGAGAGATAACAAGGGAGTGAATAAGTTGCTTAGTGGTTTCAGAGGTTAGGAACGGGCGTATCTTGGAGATGTTGCCGAGGTTGGAGGTGTTGCAGAGGTTGGAGATGTTGCCGAGGTTGGAGATGTTGCGGAGGTGAAGTCTACAAGATTTGGACAGTGATTGGATTTGGGGCTGAAAGGACAGATGGGAGTCTAGGATTACACCGAGTACCCTGGCATGAGGGGAGGGACTGATTGTTGTATTATTGATCCTAATGGAGAAGGCGGGGGAGGGGGCACAGGCTGGAGGGAATAGTATGAGCTCCGTTTTGGAAAGATTGAGTTTGAGGAAGTGGAGTGACCTCCATGCCGATATGTCACTTAGTAGGTTAGTAATGCGAAAGGAGACTGAAGGGGCGAGGTGAGGAGGAGACTGAAGGGGCGAGGTGAGGAGGAGACTGAAGGGGCGAGGTGAGGAGGAGACTGAAGGGGCGAGGTGAGGAGGAGACTGAAGGGGCGAGGTGAGGAGGAGACTGAAGGGGCGAGGTGAGGAGGGGACTGAAGGGGCGAGGTGAGGAGGGGACTGAAGGGGCGAGGTGAGGAGGAGACTGAAGGGGCGAGGTGAGGAGTAGACTGAAGGGGCGAGGTGAGGAGGAGACTGAAGGGGTGAGGTGAGGGGTAGAAAGCTAGATTTGTGTGTCATCAGCAGTATTACTTTGTGTTTCTTTGCACATAAATTCATTTTGGTGTATTGTTTCCTGTAAATATGCGTTTGCACAAATATCGCGTTACCTAAAAATTTGCAACTGCCACCATTTTATTCCTCGGGGTCTCTGCTGTCAGAAAATATATTATTGTTTGGAGGGTTTAAAGTAATTTCTAGCAAAAATAAAAATGCAGATTTTTAGAACGTGTAAAGAAACAATTGAGTACTGTCTGTGATACTTTTTTTATTTGCACTAACATACAATTTTGAGGACAAGCTTTCGGGGTATGTCCCCTTCTTCAAGGTCTAAGCAGTACTAGTAATACCCTGAAAGCTTGTCCTCAAAATTGTATGTTAGTGCAAATAAAAAAAGTATCACGGACAGTACTCAATTGTTTCTGTCGCAAATGCACTAATACGGCTACAATCACCTCAAGCTAGAACGTGTAAAGAATTTTATTGCCCCCAATAGACAAATGGCTAGTGATGGGGGCTTAGGACATTTTGCAGGGCCGATATTAAGCCCCGCCCCCCACGCCAGCAGGGTCCGCACGTCCCGCGTTTCTCTAATAGGAATGGTAAGAGTTGGGCTCATGTGTATTGTAAGTTGCTGTGGAGCAGCTGTAGGAGGCACGTCCCGCGGAGCGGCGGTCCCGGTGGGACAGTGGAAGTCTGTCTTCTGCTGGGTAAGAAAGGAGCCTTTGTGGTGACACGGCTCTAAACTCAGTCACCAGCGGCTCTTCATGCCAAACCAGGGGGGCAGGAATCCGACTTCCAGCACATTCTTCTCCTCTTCAGTAATGGGAAACGGGATATGTAACCCCTGGATGGCCAGGGAGGTGCGCAATGACTTCCACATGCCTTGGTGGATGCAGGAAAGACGCATACGGCGGTAATGCAATGGCCACCGTTTAGCGAGCGCGGATATCGGATCGGAATGTTCCTCTTGTCTGCGACTATTGCAAATTCCTCTATACATTAGGGAAAATGGACATCGCTTTTGGGTCCCAATTACATAAACCATTCCTGGTTATATTTGCTTCTACCGAACGTGTTGCTTCACAGGCGGTGTCCATTGTCTCCTCTGATTCTTGGGTTCAGTGCACATGGGCATCCAGAAGGGGCCCTTAACTCTTCCTGAATGCTGAGACCAGAAGAGGGGGGTCAGCTGAATGGCTGCAATTTATAACTTCCCGCTTCTGACTGCTGATCCTCGGCTGCCTCTCTCCTCCATAGTCATCCATTGTATAGATCCAATCTGTTGACCTTCAGAAATCACCGGATGTCTTTCAAAGGATGTTTTTGTCATTCAGAATGTTCTGCATGAAAGGAAATAAAGTGTCCCGGTTAGTGAAGTCGCAGAGGGGGTTGTTCATCAGTTTAAGCTGCTTTAGTGTTAATAAAATTACCAACAGGTGCACTAGATGGGCAACAATGAGATGACCCCCAAAACAGGAATGGTTTTACAGGTGGAGGCCACTGACATTTTTTCCCTTCTCATCTTTTCTGAATGTTTTTCACTAGTTTTGCATCTGGCTCAGGTCAGTGTCACTACTGGTAGCATGAGGCCATACCTGGACCCTACAGAGGTTGCACAGGCAGTCCAACTCCTCCAGGATGGCACATCAATACCTGTCATTGCCAGAAGGTTTGCTGGAGTAGATTCCAAGAGACAAGAGCATGGAGGAGATTCCAGGAGACAGGCAGTTCCTCTAGGAGAGCTGGACAAGACCCTAGAAAGTCCTTAACCCTTCAGCAGGACCGGTATCTGCTCTTTTGTGCAAGGAGGAACAGGATGAGCCCTGCCAGAGCCCTACAAAATGACCTCCAGGAGGCCACTGGTGTAAATGTCTCTGACCAAACAATCAGAAACAGACTTCATGAGGGTGGCCTGAGGGCCCGACGTCCTCTAGTGGGCCCTGTGCTCACTGCCTGGCACCATAGAGCTGGATTGGCATTTGCCATTGAACACCAGAATTGGCAGGTCCACCACTGGCACCCTGTGCTTTTCACAGATGGGAGCAGGTTCCCCCTGAGCACATGTGACAGACGTGAAAGGGTCTGGAGAAGCGGTGGAGAACGTTCTGCTGCCTGTAACATGGTTCAGCATGATCGTTTGGTGGTGGGTCAGTGATGGTCTGGGGAGGCATCTCCATGGAGGGACACACAGACCTCTACAGGCTAGACAATGGTACCCTGACTGCCATAAGGTATCGGGATGAAATCCTTGGACCCATTGTCAGACCCTACGCTGGTGCAGTGAGTCCTGGGTTCCTCCTGGTGCGGTGGGTCCTAGGTTCCTCCTGGTGCCCGACAATGCCCGGCCTCATGTGGGGGGAGTATGCAGGCAGTTCCTGGAGGATGAAGGAATTGATACCATTGAATGGCCCCAACGCTCGTCTGACCTAAAACCAATAGATCCCCTCTGGGATGTCGCCAGGTTGCACCTCAGACTGTCCAGGAGCTCAGTGATGTCCTGGTCCAGATCTGGGAGGAAATCCCCCAGGACACCATCCGTGGTCTCATTAGGAGCCTCCCCTGACGTTGTCAGACATACAAGCACGTGGGGGCCACACAGACTACCGATGACCATTCTGAGTTGCTGCAATGACATTTTAGCAAAATGGACTCACCTGGGGCATTGTTAAGTTCCTCACACATCCCCCGTCCATGTCAGTATAGAGATCCAGCAGGAGATTTCTCTCCATTGAGTATTCCTTTCAGTTTTTTTTTTTGAGCTGTGTATATATATAATCAGCACTTGTTCACGGTGTAAACTCCTCCTTCAGGGTTGGGTTGTAGATTCTGTGAATGCATTATATGCCATCTGGGCCATCTATATCAGGGGGTCTCCAAACCTTTCAGTGCCGGGGCCACATTCTACAGTAAATGTTACAAATATTCACAGGCAAAAAAAAATGTTTTATAAGTGAGTTAATAAATGCACTCCAAGAAATATCTTTATATGAGAAGCCCCATCATATCAGAGGTCCCCCCCATCACATCAGAGGTCCCCCCCATCACATCAAAGGTCCCCCCCCATCACATCAGAGGTCTCCCCCATCACATCAGAGGTCTCCCCCATCACATCAGAGGTCCCCCCATCACATCAGAGGTCCCCCCATCACATCAGAGGTCCCTCCATCACATCAGAGGTCCTCCATCACATCAGAGGTCCTCCATCACATCAGGGGTCCCCCCATCACATCAGAGATCCCCACATCACATCAGAGGTCCTCCATCACATCAGAGATCCCCCCATAACATCAGAGGTCCTCCATCACATCAGAGGTCCCCCCATCACATCAGAGACCCCCCATCACATCAGAGATGCCCCCATCACACTCGAGGCCCCCCCATCATATCAGAGGTCCCCCCCATCACATCAGAGGTCCCCCCCATCACATCAGAGGTCCTCCTTCAGATCAGAGGTCCCCCCCATCACATCAGTGATCCCCCCATCACAACAGAGGTCCCTCCCATCACAACAGAGGTCCCCCCTATCACATCAGAGGTCCCCCCCGTCACATCAGAGGTCCCCCCCGTCACATCAGGGGTCCTCCATCACATATGAGGCCCCCTTAAATGTCAGGGTCTCTCTCAGAGTTCCCCCATAGGAACAGAGGAATTACCGCTCAGGCAGACGATCCACATCAAACCAAGACAGGTGCAGACCCTGGCTCGCCACCACACGTAATGCAAAGGAAGAAGGGTTGGCCGCACACGGGAGGAATGATGAAATATAACAGTTGGTTTATTGAAACATGGTTATGACTAAGCACACGATCACGTGAAACACGCTAAGAGCTCTGCATGTGTCCTGGAGCCATTTGTATCTCATGGATCAATAAAATCAATTTTTATATTTCATCATTCCTCCGGTGTGCGGCCAACCCTTCTTCCTTTGCAGAGTTCCCCCATACATCAGGGTTCCTATGAGAAGCGGAGACCAACTGATCTGAATCCTCAGTCTGTACACTGAGATAAAATATCATAGAGGGCTGACGTGTCCTGTGGACTGTAATTTGGAAACTCCTCATCTTTAGCCTACATTGTCCAACCACAGAAATGACCCACCACTCCTTCCTGGTGCCGCACCTTTCCATTTGGCTGTTTAATGTTCGTTGCCATATACAGTGAAGGAAATGCGTATTTGCTCCCCGGCTGATGCTGAATGTTCGCCCCTCACACAGAAATGATCGGTCTAACAATGGAATGTTCACCCCTCACACAGAAATGATCGGTCTAACAATGGAATGTTCGCCCCTCACACAGAAATGATCGGTCTAACAATGGAATGTTCCCCCTCACACAGAAACGATCGGTCTAACAATGGAATGTTCGGTGTAACACTGAGAGACAGAATACAACAACAAATTCAGCAGAAATGCGTCTAACAAATGATGACGGATCTGCATGTTCATGAGGGAAAGAAGGATTTGATCCCCTATCATTCAGCAGGATTTCTGGCTCCCAGGTGTCTTTCATGCAGGTAACAAGCTGAGATTAGAAGCAGTCTCTTAAAGGGAGTGCTGCTAATCTCATTGTGTTACCTGTATAAAAAAACACCTGTCCACAGGAGCCATCAAACCATCAGATTCCAAACTCTCCACCATGGCAAAGACCAAAGAGCTGTCCAAGGATGTCAGGGACAAG